TCTATTGGAGCTATACTTTCACTGCCACCCTGATATACCGTGCTTCTTAAAGCACGCCTGATCAGATGCATTTTATGAAAGATATTGCAGTGACAGTAGTGTACAGTACATAACTTTTCATTACAATAGTTTGGTGCTGACCTCTAGTGTCAATACAGCTGAATTACCACAGTAAATATATTAAATTGAAGGTTGTAGGAGGCTAAATCCTCACCATGTACCACCAAGGTACTTGCATGTGTAACGCTAAGCCAGGGCTCATTCAGTGCACATCAGATTGGTAAGTGAGAAGGACTCCTCAGTTACTCCGCACTTGTATTACATTTCTCTGGGATTGGGTTCCATTGACCTACGGTTAGCATTCTTTCTTGCCTTCTGTTTGCCATGATTCAAACACAACTACCAGTGCAAAACGGGTCCCACATAGGCCTGTATCCTTATGCTCTTCTTCAGAGGGTAAATCCCGTAATTGGCATTCACTGCCAACATCCAGGAATTAATCTTTCTTGACCCCACCAATTAAAGATTAGCTCCACTTAATTAGCAGATGCCACCCATTAGATTTCATTCACATTGACCATAAATGGCTCATTTATTACATAAATTATGCAGAAGCAGAGTTTGTTGGCTCAATATCTAGCATTCCCTTAACACTGTTAAGGGTACTGAATGTGCTCAAACCAAGGGATACATTCTACATTTAAGCAGATAGTAAAATATAATCCAAGAGAGATTATCTGACCCAAATAAGAGTTGTGCATCTGCACTGGGTCCTTTGTGGCTTTGAAAATATTCTCCTAAATAAAAAAAAAAAAAAAAATATCCCTAAACTTCAGCATAGTGTAAATCAGATATATTGTCAATGAATTCAAAGCACTGCAGCTACTTCATGTTTTAAGTAAAAACTGAGTAAGTATGGAAACTTAATGATACTGACTGTACATGTCAATTTAAATTTTGTCTGTTACATACTTTTCATTTTTTAAGCTTCTGGGTTTGTGCTTACAATTCAGTTCATTCACAATAAAAATGATGTCATTTTAAAAGAGATTACCAGGCCATGTAATCCAACATGAAAAAGCCTCTGATAAATAGAACAAAATGTAAGTGAACAATTACTAAGATCTTAATCATTCCTCTGTTGTCACACTTGTGGCAATTTGTTTTTTCAGCTCATCTAATTTGAGTAATGAGAAAAATTATTAACTCAACTGACTGGCATTCTCTGAATGAATCATTCCTCAGATTTTAATTCCACAAGCAACTAATCACACTAATAACATATAAAAACAACAACTAACATAGGTTAATTGAAGAAAAATTGTGATAGATGATTAACTTGCCATTCCTGAGGAATTTTAGATACTTAAAGCTGTTAGGGACACTGCAATTTGAGCTGCTCACAATGTTGATTGGTGTTAACGCTAGGTCAAGTTTGAAGCAGTTACACATTAAGGCTAATAACCTTCTCCCACCGTTCCCCACCTGCACTGTTGTAGGGCTGGCGAGCAGGGGCCTACCTAGGAACGACAGCTCTGAGTTGCCAGGACAGGCTTCTTCTACCCCTGCTCCTGGTGAAGGTGTAAGAGAAATGGGTTGGGAGAGAGAAGGGGGCGTGGGACATGGATCTGGGAGGCAGAGCATTAAATGGGATGGGGTGGAAAGGAAGTGGGGATGGGAGACGAAGCAAAAATTAAGAAAGAATTTAAAAAGAAATAGAGAAAGTAATATAAGGAACATCACATATGGTAATAAATTGGGATTTAGCTCTGGGGGATTCTGGTCATGCTTCCCAGGGTGGCTATGAAGTGGGAGCAGTGAGGGAAGGCACTTTTGGGGAGCTACTGCCCCTGCCCCAGGAATGAAGACCCAGCCCAGTCTAGCCCCCTACCTTGTTCTCCCCCCTTCCCAGCCCCCAACCCCACTCCTGGACCTATGCAAGCCCTGTGACCTGGCTAGCTGGTATGTGTTCTGCAGGCTATTTGCACAGGGTTGCATCTCTGGGGGGTGGGAAGGTCACACACCCAGAGGCTGGAAGGGTCTTTGGTTTGGTGCCAGAACTGCCCCCTGGGGAGTAGAATCTGGGGGTGGAAAGTTTGTCCATGCTGAACAGGAGGGGAGGGTGGCAGCCACACAGCATCCTGGGATGCTGGAGGACTACAACTTGGGTGGTTCATCCCGGGGGGGAGGAGTGGACAAACATTAATGGAAAATGAGTTGGCAACACTGATCAAAGAGAAACCTGTCCTGTGGCATAACTTTAAGCCACATAAAGCGTGCTTAAAACTAGTTTCAGTTGTTAGTGTGGGGACAATCCAGGGGTTAAGAGCTCCAGGAGCCACCTAAAATTAACTGCAACAAGGCTCTAATTGTTTAACAAAGATAAAGCTGTTTTTTCTATCTCCTTTTACCACTGACACTTGACACATACTGCTTAACTTTGAAGGACATGGTGTAGTAGTGAAAAATCAGAGCTAGGTGAACCTTATAGGATTTAGTCCACAAAACCTTTTTCTTATTTATTCTTCTAGCCTTAGTAGAATGACATGAAAAGAGTAGCTGAATACAGCAGTAAGGGAAAAAGATTCAGAGGGGCACAGAGAGGGGTGAGTAAGAGGAAATGAGAGCAGACCTATAAGGCATTACTGTTTTGTGGTTAGTGTTCAATACATTCTAACTGTGGATGGGAACATTTTCGGGGAGATGAGGATTAGTCCCTGGGCCTGTAGGTAAGAAATGGGCATTTGCTCAGCTATGACTGAAAAGAAGATGGGGTTCCACAGCATGCAGCGCTCAAGACAACTTCAGAGTTGTTTGAACTTTACTAAACCAGGTACAGGAGGATCCAAAGGCATAAAACCTTAAAAAAAAAGCCTCAAAGCAGATCAATGAGAATATTTAACATACTCTGCTCATAGCCATATTAACTGGAACTGGGCAAAAGTTTTCTGAAGAGTTTCATTGGAAAAATGTCAATTTGTAGAATCCAAAATATTACACAGAAAATCTTAGGCTCAGTGTTCATCAAATCAATGACAGTTTCACTGGAACCAGTTCCACTGTTTTGTGGCAGACATTAAGTATCCCAACTACAAGACAGGTTTGCAATGAAGACTGCCCCACAGCTAGATGCCCCAAAAGTTTTCGCTATGAGGCCATCCCATGCCAATGCTGCTGGACCCCAATGGTAACCAAGAAAGTCTGGACGTCCTGAGAACTGCAAACCAAGGAAGGACGACTCTCAGGACTTCCAGAGAGTCCTATGCTGATGTCAGGAAGCCTGGAAGTATTATGGTGGGTTTCTGGGAGGAGCCAGCTTCCTTGGGAATTCCCAGCCCAGAAAGAAGCATATTATAAGGCCCAGTTAGTTGTAATCTGACTTCTATGCAAGTGCCTCAATACTCTGAAGGTACCAAGACCTATATATCAGGTCTCGGGGGCCACATGAAGCTTACACAGTCTTCTGCCCAGCCATGACTCCTCCTATCACTCTGGGAGCAAGAGCAGCCAGAATCTCTTATATTCCCCTCCAGCTTTTATATTCTGCACCTGCCCCAGGGGATGGTACAACACAGCAAGCAGCACTCAGGCTGAGGTTGGGACTATGCTGTGTGCAGTGCAGCAGTAGGGAATGGAGGGTGGGGAAGGGGGAAGTGTCCATGTGGCTTCACTGCAACAGTTATGGGGGAGGAAGAACGGAGAGAAGGATGTGCCCACACAGGCATGAGCTGCAGCAGGGTGAGGGGTGTGAGCATACAGTGCAACAGGTGGGCATCTAAGCAGCATGCAGCCCCTGACCACTTAGAAGTTGGACAGTCCTGACCTAGATAATACTTCTCTCTTGTGCCTCCACCCCCTGCCTCTTCTTAGTGGCTTTGGAGGAAAAAGGAACCAGCTTTGCAGGAAGGAATGAGCCACATACTCCAGGTGACAGAAGCAACTACCAAAGCAGCCAAAAAGACATTCAGTCATCTGGACAATCTGCTATAGTTCCAACTAGACACTCTCCTCTGGGATGATCATTCATTTCAACCATTTCCCTCTCCTCCCTTTAGAGTCTCCTCTCTTCAGCTTCTCTCCACACCTGCCACCTTAGCCCCTTCTCCCCCATCCTGTCCTTGTCACTTCCCTTTAAACATCCCTCCAACCTCAAAAACAACCATGGTGGACTGACGTGCACGCTTCCCACCATTTTCTTCACTCTGGGTGAGTCTACACATGCCCATACAGTGCCATTGTTACTGCACCATCATTTAGTGCTTCCTTTTCGAGTAGGGGCTGCACTATGCCATGCACGGTTATTTTTAGCCGCTACATTGCCATAGCAGTGCAGTATACTGAGGGAGTATTTGCTATGGCAGTGTAGCTGCAGCATCATGGTTTTTGCCTTGCAATGCTACACTGTTGTAGCACATTGCTGCAGTGACATTGCATCACATGTAGATGGGCCCTGTGTATGTGTATTATCCATTCCTTTTAGCTTATTGACATTTGAGGCAGAAACTGCATACTACTGCACAGAGGCACAGAATCTATCATAATGGGAGTATCTGGTTTGATCTTTGGCTGCAAAGATAGGTTTTTGCCAATTAACAAAGTATCTGTACTATTACAATGTTTAAATTATTAAAACCAGAATCACATTAATAATTTTAAAATATAGTCTGGAAATGTTAACTTCAGGGTGAAATTTCTCACATCTACTTACTGCAAGGATGAGCATAGTTTTGAAAAACTTAGAGGTCTTGCATGTTCCTCTCTTTCAGCTCAAGTGGTAATAGCCTGTTTAGATGTGCACATTCCAACAGTATGTATATATAGTCATAGGAACTATTAGAATGATATATAAAGTGCTAATGACATACACTACTAGAATTTGTATACTATATACACACACACTAATATACAAATCACACAACTGGAAGGATTAAGCATGGATAAATGAAATCAATCAAGCAGGAGAATGATTTAATCATATAACAATAGAGCTAAATACTCACCTAACTCAATATCTCGTATTCCCATATACATTTCAAGAAGGTCATCAACTTTCTTTATTGCTTTTTCTTCAACATCAGAGGGCTTTATTAAAGGAAAAAAGATAAGAATGAATCTTCTAAACCCAAAATGAAATGCTGTGGTTACAAAGACACTCAAATCAATAAAAGTTTTATAGTTAGGATCTGAGTTATCCCTACCCAACTAATATATATTAAGTAAATCTATCTTACTATTTTGGTCTTTAGTTAAGATTTAAGACGAAAACCAAGAGTGAACCTGTAGCAAGACAAAGTCAGAGTTAACAAGAAAAAATTGGCTTTCTTGGTGACACCCTGTGCAAGTAGGGCAGAATACATAAATCTGAATTCTCTCCAGCTGACATATGCATGCGAGTACTTGAACTTTTAATGTCATGTATATCAATTTAATGAAATGCATGGCACTCTCCACTTTTTATGTATGTTCTGTGGGATCTAAAGAGTCAGTTATTTGTAAATTATGTGTACGCATTGGTGTTATCACCTCCTGCATTCAAAGAAAAAGAAAACCCACAAACCAAAGCCTGGGGGGAAGAGATGGGATTGGTTTTAAAAATCACAAGCTTTTTAAAATATATATATTTGGAATCTTTTAAATTTGCCTTCTTATATTTGAGCTTTTAGATTTGTTATTTATTATCAAGTTTCTCTCTGCATCCACAAGACCATATGATATTTAACAAAATATTAAACATTTTTCATTAAAATTCTGTTTTATCACTTCTGTAGAATGGCAAGTCTGATATTTTGCAGTCATACATGGTCCTAAAAGTTTTAAATGCTATATTCTGCCTATAAAAACATACCATTTCTTCCAGAGTGGCAGGGCCTTTAGATCTCAGTCGAAGTGTTTCTCTTCCCCTTGAGATTTTAGCCTCTGATAGACTTCCACCTTTAAGCCTTGGTTCAATCATTTCTATAAACAAAAGTAAAATTGTTAAATACACAATTTAGTTACAATTAAATCAATATGCTCTCACTGACTATTTCATCTAGATCAGAATTTATGTCTAAATTAAAATCTAGACTGACCTAAAAATGAAGTGCAATTTACAGTGCACCAATCAGACATTGAAAGGCTCTGGCATGGACCTTTTAAACATTAACCTTTTAAAATACTATTACCATATAATAAAATTGAGACTTACAAGGACAAATGCATAGATGTACACTTAGTGCATGCCATTATGAAATCAATAAGAGTTTTGACATGGACTTCAGTGGAGTCAAGATTTTACATTTATCACTAGTGATGTTGTCCATTAGTTACACGATTAGTATTGGGTCTTCTTGTCTAACCTGGAGAAAGTTTTGAGCTTCATTCTGATAGGTAAGAGTCTCAGACCTAAAATCTGGCATTGCTGTCCCCGGGACAAATTTTTACAGGTAAAGTTTACAACACTATTCCAATTTCTCAATTCATTTTCAGCTGAGCTGGCCTTAATCTGTGTGGGGTTGCAGAGCCAATATGGGAAACTATTTCTGTAAAAATTCGTTACTTTATACCAGTGGTTCTCAACCCACAGACTGATTGGTAGCATGCAGCCCAATCTGCAGGCTGCTGCGGCCCATGTGACATCCTGTTCAAGCATTTTTTAAATGGCTACACAAGAAGCAAATTGCGCAGGTGCAGCCCACAACACATTGAGAGCTGCAAGTGTGGCCCACTGTGGCAAATAGGCTGAGAACCACTGCTCTATACCCTGTCTACTAGTCCTCTTCTTGGTGCTGATGAGAGCTAACAATGAGAAAAATCCCAAAAACCCAGAACCTACTAAACCATGGTTTATTATCAGTGTCTGTTTCTTCTTAGGCTATATTCCCAATCCACAATGAGCCTGTTTTATATGGTTCATTAAGAGCAATTTGCAATCTGGCCATGTGCTATCAACAGCAGAATGAGAGCCCAAGTTAGTTTGTATAACTTGTGACTGTCCTGTAGTCAGCTACTGCTTCTGGACTGGCACTGTTTTCAATGCGAAGGCAATTTTTTGGTTTAATTTTAAAAGGACTACACTGTGAGAAAATGGGTATGATACATTTTAACTCCAGATTCATGAGTTATTTGGAGGACATCTGTATACTTATACAGGTACACATGCAAAATGTGCTTGCATATGTAAATAATATCACAAGTTCTGCATGCCTTAATACAGAGATGCTCAACTTCTGGCCTGCAAAATAGTGTTAACTGGACCATAGGTTTGGAAATTTGACAGATAAAAAGGAGTAGCAGCATTAATTGTTGCTCCCCTGCTAGCAAATTTCCAGCCCCACGGGAGCCCGACGAGCTGGATGATGTGACCCTGTGCAATAAATCAGACTTCAGCACAGGTTAACCACCTGAGTATTTACCCTGCTTCTTGAGCAGATTTTGCAGCCTAGCTGAGCTCCATGCTAAGACCATTACCAGTACCTAAATGTTCTGAAGAAAATTTTTATTCTTGGTCTAATGCAATTTCCAGGTAACAGTTATTGCTAGGAAAACCTTCCTTCCGATATTACCATTTTGATATCTTCTTTCAAGATAAATGACTTCAGTATATGATTAAGCTAATAAAAATAAGACTGGGGTTGTCAAGCGGGGATACGCCTACCCCAGGGGTACTTGGAAAGGTGCTAGGGGGTACATGCGGGAAGGGACAGACCCCTGCCATCCACCACTCCGCGCTGCCACCATTGTGTGCTGGTCACCCCCACTTCGCGTCCAGCCACTGCCACCAGAAGGGGTACACTTCTTTAAAAGGGTTGAAAACCTCTGAATTAAGACATCGTAAAACAAAAACATTTGGTTCATAGCTAGAAAGTAATCCAATATGTTTTTTATTGTCGTTAGAGGATTTTAATAGTCTGGTATTTAATAAATTGTACTGAACACATTCCTTCAATTCTGAGGTTTATGCTGTCACCCTATTATTCCTGCTTTTAATCCATATTATACAAGTAGCAAAAACATAAAAATAAGCTGGTCATGAATTTTAAAAAATAAATAGTGCATTTGTATATTATTTTGAAATATGATTTATAAAATTAGTGACCAGTTCCTAAAGGACTCCATTATTTATTTTACAATTATTACCCATAACTTTTATAAGGCAACACAGTGGAAAACAGGTTTATCCTTTTAGAAGTTGTAAAACATTTTTTTTTAAATAATCAAAATATAAAAGCCATTGTCAGAGAATCATAGTACTCAGAACTGTGTACTATAAAGACACAATCTCAGGTTTTTTTAATGGACCATAACCCTTCCAGGGGTTACCCCTCAAAAGAATTCCTTCTCTGTAAGATTCTCTTAGTAAACTATCTTTTAAAGATAGGTCTTTAGTATTTTATATGCATTTTGTTCAGCTGGGTTCCAGTTGGTTGCAGCTGCTTTACAAGTCAAAATACTGAGACTATTTGAGGAAGGCTTTCTTGTTCTGCTCAGATTTAAAATTCACTTTTGGAACACTGTACTTTAAAATAAATTTCCTCATAATAATACAGCCTTACCACAGTCTACTACTACTCTCATATATATCCAGCATCACTGTATTTTCCATAACCCTATGGATATTTTTGGATTCATGGTCTAGCTATAAAGGAATAATTTCATCATCATTGAGAATTCAAGTTCTTAATCATAGTACTCATTCTCAACATACACACCATCAGCTCTATACTGGTAACACTTTACTTATGACCGACACAGGCTCTTTGTTGGGGGTTTGCAATAGGCACCCAACAACATGGCCAAACTCCCTGCAAGAATTATCTTGGCCAAAACAGGCCTTATTATTTCAACCACAATTCAAATTAAAAATTTGTGCCATGCTTTCTTCAACTAGCTTTGTGGATGCTGCTTCATTTCAAAGAAGGCCAGCGCGTGATGATATGCTCAAAGAGGAGAGTAATAACCCATCCTTACTCAGGTAAAGCTTTGTGTCTATGGGGAAATTCACTGATCAGAGCCAATGACTTGGTATGCACTGGGGGAAGAGATGAAAGGCCTGTTCCAATGAGTAAATCATTACTTTTCTTTGATCTCCAGGGGACAAAGGAGAAGCAGGTGAACAACAGTGAATCCACAATTTGTCTCTTAGTCAAAATGCCTCCCAGAGCTACCCTTTAAACACCCTCTTACTTGACGGCCTTATGTTCCAGTTTAACTTGAAAATATGTCTGGATTCTTACCTTTGAGGCAGCAGACTATACTGACTTACTTTTAATAAAACCAAAAAAAACAAAAACAACCCCCCCCAACATCTGTATACATCATGAAGAAGAAAGTAATAATGAGCTGTAGTAAAAATGTAATCCTTTTAGGTTTACAATTGCCAAAAAACCTCCATAAACCAGTTTCCTCATAACAATTTAACACAACATATTTTCTATACAGAACTTTATTTTTAAAATTGTAGAGAGGGAGGAGGGATGGTAATCCACTAAAAGCGTCATAAAGTACCTTAGTGTATCCTGGAATATTTTTTTTTGACCTTATTGAAATAATTTGAACATCAAACACAATGAGTAAGAAGCCTATTGTTTCCATCTCCCAAATACACATTATACAGGACTCAGCATCACTCAGATTCATATGCATGACATGCACATAGATGTACTGAACATGGGTACACATGCCAGAAGCAGCACTTCACCCACACCCCTCATTTTAGCCTGCAGCAGCCAGCATAAAATGCCTTCCAGTTTCTCTCATCCTAATTACTGCAGTTATTCTGACACCAAGTGTTCACAGTGAGGTACTACAGGTCTTCCCAAACTGATCACAGATTGCAATGATTTGGAAAATAAACATTTCAACTTGCTGATGAAATGGGGCAGAGGAAGGGAATTTTCTAGAGTTTCAGGGCATACATGTATCAATTCTAATACTGATCTGAAATACTGGATGCTGAATTATTTACTGTTACAGAAAAATAATGCATAGGAAAGAATAACTTAAAATAATTCTGGTTTTTATTCCTATTTTGAAATTTTAGCTTAAACAAAGTACTTGCATTTCAATCCCATTTTTTTAAAAAAAGTAACACACAAATGATTAGTGATACGAGTGATTCCCTTCTATATACAGACCCAAAATGGATCACTTTGCCACACGTTTTTTCTCAGCTGTCTGCTGAGGGGCAAGATATTTTTATGCAGGGAGAAGTAGCGAGGGATGGAGGGAAATGAACTGATGCAGTATGGAATCTCAGTCTCTCTTATCATTTCTAGTTAAATATTTACATTATGAAACCCTACCGGTTGGGAAAGGGTTGACAGCACAGATTAAATGAATTGTACTGGCAGGGGCTTGAGGAAGGGGAGGGACCCTGCTGAACATACAAATCATGCATCACAGGGCCTCTGTGCCCCCTGTGAACGGGGTCTGCCAGCACCTGTGGGCAGGGAAAGAGACAAGTGGCTGATGTTAGGTAAGTCTCCCAGTGGAAGTCATAGGAGCGGTCTGATCCAACACCGGACTGCTGACAGATACCTGGCATTCTAGGCACAATGTTTGGAGGGGTTGAACACATAATAGTGAAAGTCTATTCATTCATTTCCATCTTCAGAAGAAAAACTACGCACCTTGACAACTAAGCTACCTTGGGCATTCATCTAGGGCAAATATTGTTCCTTTTAAAAACTAAATCTACAAAACAAAGCAGCCACGGTACTTTAACATCCAGATACAAGGTGCAAACAATACACATCACTTACCAAATGCTTTCATAGGCTCTATCAACTGTAGCTTAAATGTCTGCCCCTTCTCCAGTGCTTTTAGTAGCTTGGCAACTTCATAATGACGATAACCCACAACATTTTTCCCATTTATAGATTCTATATGATCACCCACGCATACCATTTTGATTTGGTCAATAAGGCTGCCTTCTTTAATACGCTGTTGGATTAAAAGAAAAAATTAGGAACAAAATTATGGGGGGGGGAAGTTGGGGGCCAAATTCACTGCTACTATAAGCAAGTAAAATTCTAGTGCTGCCAGCAAGGCTTAGTTCACTGTCTATTTCAAGGCTAGGAAATACATTTATTGTGCAGCATACAGGAAATTTATTGCACTACTCCAATTTCTGATTACCAGATTTGTAATACACGACATCATTACAACATTCTCCTATGCATTTACAAAATAATCTCCTCCTCCCCACCCCAAGTCATTACTCCTTGGATCACTTGTTTCATTCAAGACTAAAGCTTTGCATCTTAGCTATAAACCCAGAAAATAAGGGCATTTATAGATGTGCTCAGGGAGGTGGGGGCTTCAATTAGCGCAGCTCTAGACCCACACTAATTAAAATACCCGGAGCGTCATATGTATCAACATCCCCACTCTGAAAAATGGTAGCAGGGCACTTGGAACTAAAGCTCATTGAACACACTTTAATTTTAAAATGCTCCACTGCCGTTTTTCAGGACGGGGATGCTGATACACATGACACTAGATGCTGCTGGAACATGGCAATTATCACGCTCCAGCAGACTTGATTAATTGAGTAATTACAGTGTGTTGGAGCAACCTCCCTGCATGTGTATAGGAGCCCTAAGATTGCGTAACAGAACTTCTGATAAAACTTGTGAACTCATAGAAAATTGAAATAAGAAAGATGACTTATGACTGACCAACATTGAAAGTTGCAATTTCAACTTCATCTGTAAAAAGCTGAGTATGTTATAGCCTTAGGACTTTATTATACCATGTGTTAAAATTATAAACAGTTGCAAGGGCTTATAACTATCAGATTACCTAATACAAGTGTGTATTCATTAATAATGAAATAATTAAGTTGAAATGAAAAGACTATACATGACAAAAGTGATTCCCCTAAATACAGCTGTTTATTCAACCAGATACGGTCTCTGCTTTGTAATATACCTGGGACTACATTTTCTTAATCCAAGTGGCACTGAACTGTAGCAAGATAGAGCTCTTTCTGTTTGTATATTTAGGTCTTCTCTCTTATTTAATACACCCACTGATTAAACAGTATCTTATAAAACTGCTTGCTTTGCTGACTCAGTTTAAAACAGAAATACTCTTACAACTGTTAGAAAATGTTCCAACCAGATGACATATTATTAAAGGTACCAGCAGTTATGGCTGATATATCTACACTTAGGACTCCCACTGTTGCTACGTTAATACGGCAGCACAGGTCCTAGCTGCAGTGCTTTCCATCTTTATATTACACTACAATCTGCAACATTCCCTCAGAGAAGTGACTGATGCTCTTTTATTACTTCTGAAACATGCTCAATAGGAACAAAGGCACCCATTCTAAAGGGCCATTCAAATAATAACTAATCTGGCAAAAGTGTCATTAGACCCTTGTCCAGAACAAAAGCATCCCATTAGTAATTAAATTTACCTTAATGAAGGCACAGCCAGTTCCATTGTCTGTAATCGTAAGCCCCAGTGACTCTTCGGATTTAAGAATATCCACTTCCTTTTTTGGTCCTTTTATGTGTGCAAATATGAAATCTTCAAGGCCAATTTGCCCTCCTAAGAGCTTGTCCATGTCAATTCTATGTGTATTCAAAGTGCAAAACATGATCTATAAAGAAAGGAGGGGAGGAGAAAAAAAGAAATTATGTCCAAGTTCACTGTTGCACCAGCCATGGTAAGCCCAAATGTAAATGACAGGAAAACAAAGGGCAAAAAGCATTCTGGTTTCTCTGAATTTCAGTCACAACTTCAAAATAAGTTTGAAATATATATTTATTTATGATCTTCAGTGAGGAGTCTCATTTGTCACATAAAATCACCTGCACTAATGGCTGTGTGTACTGACATTCACTTACATGACAGGTACCATACCAAAAAAACCCACCCAATTCTGCAGAGGTCAGTCAGCAAGATGCAGAGAAGAAAGAGAGAATTTGTTTTCCAACAGTCTCTCTCCATTGCCTCTATGAGAAGGCTGAGCTGAATAGGGTAAATTAATCTGGGAAGATTCATCAGCGCTAACAGCAAGTGTCCTAAGCAGGAGTGCAGTAATTTCTTATTTAAGAGCTCCTGGCAGTCTCAACCAACTATCAACCCAGCTTCCCTCCCATCTCAGAGCTTCTATTAATCAGGGTTCAGAATTCAGGCCCAAGACTAAAGCATCCCAAGCTACATGTTATTCAGAAGAATTTATTTTCTGATCAATACATTACAGATGCTGTGCTTATGGTAATGAATCCTTTCCATCCAAACCAGCTACCGCACAATGTTTCAAGACTTCATTAGGCTTCAATCAATCACAAGATGCAATTGGTCAGCATCTCCTATCCCACTTCACCTGCCATATGCCCCCCAAGATAATCTGGTATGGGTGGGAGTATTTCTAGAAGTGCAAATAAACAAACATCAACATCTAATCGAGTTCTCTCAAGAGTGGAGCTTTGGCTTAACTGCATTTCCTCTTGTTCCATACAGCAGAGGTGGCCAACATGCAGTATAACTGCTACTAGTAGCACTAGCAGCCTGCGTGTGTGGCACGTGACAGATTGGGGAGGCAGATAGGGCAGAGAGCATAAATCAGAGCAGCTGATCGTGAACTCACAGATGCATCTCAAGCAGGTCCAAGGAGGTGATCCTCCCCCTCTATGCGGCACTGGTCAGGCCGCAGCTGGAGTACTGCGTCCAGTTCTGGGCGCCGCACTTTAAGAGGGATGTGGACAGCATGGAGAGGGTCCAGAGGAGGGCCACTCGTATGATCAAGGGACAGCAGGGTAGGTCCTATGAGGAAAGGTTGCGGGACCTGAACCTGTTCAGCCTTCAA